CCCATCCACAGCAGCTGCCACCCCCCCCCCAGCCCAAGAGGACACTGGGCTCAGCCCAGACTTAGGCTGCAGTGGGTCGAGGCGCCTTTCTTCTTCTTCTTCTTCTTCCCCTGTCCTCTGAGCTCCGGCAGAGCCCAGCCTGTGGCTGCCCTCTCCTGCCGGCTGGAGAAGGAATTCCAGGCCAGGCCTCCCATTCCCCCTTCCTGCGGCTGGGGGCTGGCAGAACTCCCAGGCCTGGCCTGGCCTGGCCGGACCCCAGCCCTCCCTGAGCAGCAGGCGGGAACAGCTCTTGCCTCATCCTGGGCTTTGGCAGGCAGGCAGGCAGGACGTGTCCGGCTTTCAGCCTTGTGCCGAGAAACTGGCCTTGCCCGCTGCCCTCCCCTTGGCACCGGGGCCACTCCCCAGCCTGGGTGGGTGGAGTCAGCACGCTCCATCCTCCCCCCCAAAAAAACACAAACCCCTTGGGCTGAGGAGCAGTAGCCCTGGCCAAAGGGCACCCCACAACAGAGCCAGGGAGGCAAGGTGGGGTGGGGGTGGGGGTGGGCAAGGCGGTGTGTGTGTGTGTGCGCGTGCTTTTTCCCAGCCCAGAAAAAGTGGTTGATGAAATTCTGCCCCAGCCAAAGGGAACATTTCCTCCTCCTCCTCCTCCTACTCCTCCTCCTCCTCCTCCTCCTCCTCCAATACAGGAAGTCTGGGTCCAGCAAGAGGCAGGTCAGACACACCTCTGCACACCACTGGTACTCTTGGGAGAAGGAACTCCCTGCCCCACAAGACACGGTGGTGGTGACCGCCCCTCCCTGACGGGAACGGTAAGACTCCGCAGCTCAGAGGAACCTCCACATTCAGGGACAACGGTCTGGGAGGCCAGCCGGAGCCTCCTTGGCCCACTGCAGACAAGGCAGCAGAGCAGAGCAGAGCAGAGCAGGGTGTCCCCCCCCCCAGCCACAGAGAGAACCTCCTTCACCAATCGTTTATTTGTTTTAAATTAAAACTACTCCACATCTAAAAACAACTCCAGAGCAAACCAGATTGTACAGGGCTTGATTGACATTGTGTGCAAAGCAAAGGGGTGTGTGTGTGTGTGTGTCGGGGGGGGGTGAGGTGGGGAGAGTGCTGGGTGCAGCAGGGAAAACCCCTCGTACTCCCACGGGGCTGTGTGTTTCTTCAGGGGGGGCACAGAAAAATGAAAGGCCAAGACTGCTCTGTGGCCCACAAGGAGAGGCTG